ATCACTCAAATTTTCAAATCAGTGATTGGCTTGACTTCTCTGCAAAAAGCTATGCAGTCATGGTTCTGATCCTCCCTACTGACAGTGGTAGAAAATGGAGAGACCATGAGTTGGAACTTGTGGAAGTAGTTGCAGATCAGGTATATATCTCAATGATAATATCTAGATATGCTCCATTAATAATAATCGTCCACTCTATAAATTCTCTCATTTTGCATGTTGTTTCCTATTCTTGTTCAATTTTTCTTCCTTACATTTATTGCCTGCTACTCCCTTCTATAATGAAAAAGTTGAAGAAATACTAATAGAACATCTTCTTCAATGACTAATTATAATTCTTTAATCTTTATGAGGTTGCTGTTGCTCTTTCACATGCTGCTATACTGGAAGAATCTATGCGGGCCCGTGATCAGCTCAAGCAGAAGAATGATGCTTTAGATTTGGCTCGTCAAGAGGCAGAGAAGGCAATCCATGCTCGAAATGATTTCCGTGCTGTAATGAACCATGAAATGAGGACATTGATGCATGCAGTTATTGCATTGTCTTCACTTCTCTTAGAAACGGAACTAACTCCTGATCAAAGGGCTATGATAGAGACAGTTCTAAAGAGTAGTAACCTCTTGACAACACTTGTTGATGATGTTTTGGATCTTTCCCGACTTGAAGATGGTAGTCTAGAATTAGAAATTGGACCATTTAATCTTCATGGAGTTTTCAGAGAGGTAATTACTACTAATTCGGCACTAAAAATAAGCTTGCTCCTTTACAGTTCTCATAGGCATCTTAATTACATCATTTATTTTATGTATGTAATTGTAGGTCATTAATTTGATAAAACCTATTGCATCTGTAAAGAAGTTATCCATGAATATGATTATGGCACCGGATTTACCAACGTATTCGATTGGTGACAAGAAACGGCTCATGCAAACTATTTTGAACATTGTGGGTAACGCTGTAAAGTTTACAAAGGAGGGTTGTGTTTCGATTAAAGTGTCTGTTGCAAAACCAGATTCTTCAAGAGACTGGCGACCTGAATTTTACCCTGTGTCAAGCAATGGCCACTTCTACCTACAAGTACAGGTAGTTGACTACTGCATTTAACTTCACTAAGCTTGTTTCATTTGAGTTTCCTGTCTTTTGCTCTCTCCGGGTTGTACCTTATAAAGTTCAAGGTACTCTTCCTAAGATTTGCTGTTTAAAATTTGAGAGCTTTCGAAGTCATATGGGTAAGTTGAGGTGCTCATATAAAGTATGGGCTTGTGGGTGTGACCGTGTGATTCATTTGGCTAGTCTCTCTTCGTTCCCGCTTTGTAGAGATTGTTTGGGATTTCTCACTATTGCATGTCAGTTGTTTTTTGTTGACCCTGTTATCTCTGATAATGAACTGCAGGTTACTGATTCTGGCTGTGGTATTCCGCCACAAGATATTCCATTTGTCTTTACCAGATTTGTTCAATCTCGAAGTGGTTCCAACAGAAGTACAGGTGGAGCAGGACTCGGACTTGCCATTTGCAGAAGGTATACCGGAAGCTATGCATTTCAATACACTGCAAGGAGAACCATAGTGTAGAAGAAGTTGTCTAACTATTTACTCACAAAAAGAGTAAATACCAAGCAAAGTCATGCTTGCCTCATATTCGTAAATATTTCCTAACTTACGTTGCAAATAATTGAATCAGGTTTGTTAATCTCATGGGAGGGCACATTTGGATTGAGAGTGAGGGTCTCAACAAAGGTAGCACAGCAACATTTGTTGTCAAACTTGGGATATGCACCAAGCCGTTTGATTTATCCACACACCAAATTGTACCCAAAGGTCGAGTAAATCATGGAAGTGCAGATCTCACTAGGCAAAAACCGGTATTTCGAGATACTGATGTGGTGGCTTTGTCCAAAACACGATACCAAAGAAGCCTGTAGGTGGCAGTGACAGCAGCTGCAGCATTCAGGGACCCGCTTATTCAAGAAATGATTTTTCTTCATATACTACTATAAGCTGTGTCAGAGAAGTATGAATCCAATATTAACCGTGCAACCAAGAATCGGATTCCAATTACTACTATAGCTATAAATGATAATCGCATTCCATTTACTAGTATAGTCATAAATGATAAATGTTAAATGATGATATGCTGCCATTTGTTCTGGGTTAAGGTTTATTATAAGTTGCAAATTGATAAAATCTTTAACTAAAGCCATGTTCAGTATTTTTGATGAAAGTAACTTGATCACCAATTCACCACTGCGCATGATCACCAAACACCAGAGTGGACGCCGTCACCAATTCCAATTTTAGTAAAGCAGAAATGAGCCACGTTTTGAAGGAAAAAACCAATAAATAAAAATAAAAATAAAACCAACCCATGTACCGACCCGTGACCGTGAAGCAAAGCAAAGACCCCGACATGTATATTTTCTGATACTGTTGCCAAAGTAACTCAAAAAAGGGCGAAAAAAGGTAATATCATCAGTATAATAATTTAGGGAAAAATTCAATGCTTCAAGCCATATGATATAATGTTTTATTATAACAGATTATAAGGGATATTATATTAATGAAAAGATAGATCACCTTGAAGAATATTATAAATGTTTGGAAAATGTATTTAGTTGGTTCGAATAAATTAATGAGTAATATGTTTGATTGAGAGGATAAATGCATAGACATGTTATATAGATTATTAAGTTGATTCTTTTTTAATAATATTATAATATTATTTTTTTAATCTCTTACGTTTGAAATTTTGTTAAAACACTCAAACCATATAAAACTTTAATTTGTAACTGGCAGCTAACACTACCGTCCACAGTCGACGAAATGACGCACGACTGACTGTATATGACCAATCGTGAGCTGACAAAGCCATTTCCGACCATGGATCCGACTCACAAAAGGCCAGATCTCGCTGATCTTACGCCGTTACGATAACTGGTGGTAGTGGCCAACAGTGGTCTTGGATGACTGGAAGTATTTTGTTAGCTTTTAAACTTTTTATGACTGTGATGTTTTAACTAATTTCTCAAATGTAAAGGGATCAGACTAATTGTTATTTAACAGACACTTGAAGGTAAGTTCGAAATAATATTTAATTAAAAATAAAATAGTTATAAAAATCAAATTATCCGATAATCTTTTAATTTACCCACTACATTAACAACAGTAAATACTATTTACAATAAAAAATATCTATTGTAAATAATATTTACTAGTAAACTCTATTTACCACCGTGACAGTCGACGGAATGGCGCACAACTGATTGTATATGACCAATCGTGCCCTGACAAAGCCATTTCCAAACATGGATTCGACACACAAAAGGCCAAATCCTGTTGATCTTACGCCGTTACGATAACTGGTGGTAGTGGCCAACGGTGGTCTTGGATAACTAGGAGTATTTTGTTAGCTTTTAAATTTTTTATGACTGTGGTGTTTTAACTAATTTCTCAAATATAAAGGGAGAGTTTGGTTGGAGGTGATGTGGGATTACACGGGTTATATCATCTTATATTACCTGATTACCATGTTTGGTTGTCAAGCAATATAAGAAATCGGTAATCTTCAAATACCAATAGTGGTTACTATTTGTAATATCAGAGATAATCTGATTATCTCCATTTTCTTAGGTATTCTAAAATTACCAGTGTTATTTTTTTTTGTTACAATTTTATCCCTTATTAATAAAAAATTTGGACAATAATACCCCTACTTTAAAACAAATTACATTAATATCTTATTTCAATTTTACCCTTGTTTACTTAAAATTTTGGACAATAATGCCCTTATATTTAAAATAATTTACAGACCACCACTGCCACCCAACCACCACCGCTGACAGCAGGACAACCACCACGGAACGCCGCCAAAAAATCACCGGAATCCCTGAAAAAGAACAAGATTCTGTGGGAGGCTTCGATATGGCTGTTAACGGCCATGGACCTGGCCGTTAGCGGCCAGATCTATTCTTGTCGGAATCAATCTGGCCGCTACTGGCCAAGTCCATGGCCGTTAATGGCTAGATCTCATCCAGATCTGGCCAGAAATGGCCAGATGGCCAGATCTAGCCTGATATAACCATTTTCGGCCATCAATATGGTCAGAAACGGCCATAGTGAAGCGTCTTGGTCACGGTGAGCTAATCACAGGGACTTTTCAAGACTTCCGGCGGTGGTTTGCAGTGGCGACAGGAGGTGGGGGTGATTTCATCATAAATTAAAGATTTATATAAGCAGGGTGTTTTAGCTAAATCTGAAATATTGGGGGTTAAAAAAATTATTCAAAAATTAATAATAAAAATAATATTATATTAGTATTTAAAAAAGGGACAATTTAGTAATTTAAATAACATACCCACCAATTTATTCCCTATAACCAAACATATTAATATAACATATTCACCAACTAACCAAACATATTTTCCCAAAGATTCTCAGTAATCTTTCAAGATAATATATCTTTTCAGTAATTAAACATTCCTGAACCAAACACCCCCAAAAGGATTAAACTAATTGTTATTTGACAAACACTTTGAAGGTAATTATTTTTGAAATAATATTTAATTAAAAACAAAATAGGTATAAAAAATCTTTTAATTTACCCACTACATTAACACAAGTAAGCGCTACTTACAATAAAAAAATATCTATAATATTTTATTATTAAAATAAATTAAGATTACCCTATTATCTTATATGCCCCTTACCTAAACACACCCTAACTAGATAATAGCCCTTACCTAAACACACCCTAACTCCTTAGTATTGGATTCATTTTAGAAAATGGATATTAAAAACCTTGAATAACAAACATCATTTTTCCACTTAACGATTTGTATCGTTTAAGATGTAGCACAAAGATTCAGTGAAAATGGGGAATCCAAAAACGAAACCATTACTTTCCAAGCTTCAATATATGAGTTAACAAGAACAAGTAAGAGTCCATTTAGCGTAAACACCCAACCTAGAAAGATTTTGTAAAACTATCAACTGACATTTGAAATTCACCACATAAACATCATAACTGATATAATAAGCCAAGAAAAATTAATAAAACCGGTCAAGAAACATAACGTACAAATTAAGCAAATACCAAGAAATCTGCTTTCAACTACCATATTTAAGTAACAAGGTTCAAAAGAAACCAAAAAAAACATAGCTTCAACAAAACTACTCTGCCACAGTAACTGAGTACACATGCTATCTATAGATTTATCCTTCAATGCTTTGTTAGCAGTCTTACTTCTTAGACTTTTTTGATACTCTGCAAAAAGAGGAAAAATTAGCACATGGGATAAAACTTAATTTAATTACAGTATTGCATACTCATCATCATCTATATACTCACTCAGTAGAAGCAGCAGGTGGTGCTGTTGTTGGCTTATCTCCTCCTCCAGGTCCCTGTTTCCAGAGAAAAAATTATCACAATCATATTAATTATGAAACTACCAACTTTTGCAGATTGATCTAAATAGTCAACAAGTCAATACGATTTTGCTTGAGCTGAGAAAAAAAATCCAGACAAGCATATCGCTAAAATGTTACAGGGCAATGTGGCATTAGGACAACAAAAGTTATTTAAAAAGAAAATAAACTACAATACCACACTCACAAACATCGTGGCAGAAAAAAGATTTTTATACATTGCAAGAACATGTAATTCATAAACAAAATGATACTATCAAAAATGAGGTAAGCACGGCATAATCGCATTTCTGAAAGGTTTCATAAAATAAGTAATCATATAATTACTTTATTGCTATCATGTTTCATCCCAAAGAAATCAAATGCGGTTAAAATTCTGACCTGGGCTAGTCGTTCCTCCCTCCTGGCAAATTTTCTTTCCCTGCTTGCCTTATTCTTTGCCCTTTTAGCCTCAAACTGGTCAGACAAAGTCTTTTCTCTTGCCTTCTCAGCCTTAGTCTTATGGATACTCTCCATCAAAACTCTCTTATTCTTGAAGACATTACCCTTCACCTTCATGTACATGTCATGATACATGTGTTTGTCAATCTTCTTTGCTTCCCGGTACTTGCGGAGCAAGCGCCTGAGAACACGCATCCTCCTCATCCACAGTATTTTAGTTGGCAGCCTAGCTTCTCTTGTACCCTTACGCTTACCTAAAAATCAGAATACAGCACTATTAATTATTCCATGCCGATTTCTTGGAAGTTAAAAAAACAAAAAAATGAAACCAATTTCCTATCTATGTGCACCAATTGGATACTTTATCTATAATAATTTTAAACTAAAAATAAGAAAACATAACTCAACTACTTACTACTTGATTGACCAAAGATGTAGTAACTTGGTCAACATAATCAAGTTGGATGAACAACACCAATGATAATTTGAACAATCTATCCACAATACCAATAACATATAAGGTATATAATCATACGTGATTAGTCCAACATTAAGCTTTCTTAAAACCAAATTCCTACAAGTTCCATATCTTATGAATGACAGAAAGATACCATATCCAGAGTGGCGGCCCTTCCTCTTAGCTTCCTTCATGCGTCTTGCACGAGAACGAGAGTGAATCTTGGTTGGCTTTCTGATGATGAAACCATCCTTGACCAGCTTCCTGATGTTCTGGCCTGCAATTTGATCCATATAAACCCCATCAAAGACGCAATAAAAGTAGAAAATAATGCTACAAAAGCCCACAATCCTACCATGTCAACTAGTAAAAAATTCCTCAGAAATGTCGCAGAATTCCCAAACATAATAACACAACTACAATTCCATTCAACCTACTTACTAAAACATAGAAAAAACTAAAACAATTTGATTAAACTTAAAAGTTAACCTTCAGCAAACAAAACCCTAGTAAAACTAATCATTTCTCAGAATTGATGAGATTATGACTGAAAAGGGAATTAATAACTTGATTTTCTTTTATTTCGAAACTAGAACTATTGAAAATATAACAAACAGTAAAGAAGTGAATTATCATCCATCCACGATAACAGAGCAATAAAAACAAGCCTATCTACTTACAAACTATTATAAGAAAGTCGCATGAACAAACTTAAGACAGGAAAAATCGTGTGCATAAGCACACGACTTTAATAAGCTTAACAGGTAAAAATAACGCCTCAAACTAAACATCTTCAGAAGACGCTAACCCGCTTGTTCAGACAAAACTCTGACCTTTCAATTCGTTTGATCAAAGAACTTGAGACGTACAAAAGAAATTAGAGAGAGAGAAAATGGTACGACAAAAAAATGGGACAAAAAAAAATAAGAAGGAAGACGTACGAGAGTTGGCCATGGAGATTTCATTGACTTCATTTGGATCGAGCCAGACCTTCCCTCTGCCGCACTTGAGGACGCTGGCTGCCAGACGTTTTTGAAGCTTGAGCGAAACCATCTTTGTTGTGCGTCTCTCTTCGCAGCTGCTAAATCAGAGAAGATAAGAAAAGTCGAGATTGAGGTTATATATACCAAGGGTTAGCGCTAGGGTTTCCATAATCCATATGCCTTTCTTTCTTCTCTGGGCCGGTTCGGGTTTGAGTTTTATGACATTAATGGGCCTTAAACATGCATCCCGACACCAACCCAATGTTTAATAGCAAACACACTCCAGATTGCTTCTAACAAAGCCCGCTCCGTTAAAAATGGGTTTAGTGCATTTAGTACTACTCCAAATGAATACTAATACATCCATGGGCCTTACGAATGGGATTTGGTCAAAGATTGGAACACACCCTTCACCCTTGGGTTTCTTTAGAAATTTGGTTGGTGTCCTGATGACGAAAGAGACGTTATTTTATTTTTAGGTTGCTTTTGGTTTAGGGTGAAATAGGATTAATACTGTAATGGTTATTTAATTTTTAAGATTCCCTCGTCTGATTATCAAGTAATAAAATATTATAGAATCTTTTATTACAAATAGTATTTACTGTTGGTAATATTGGGAGTAATCAGATTATATTCCTAATGGGGTGTTATTATAAGATTATCAGGCTGATCTTAATTTTGACCCTATTTTGTCCTTAATATTTTATCATTTTGGACACATTTGTCCTCATATGTCTACCAAATAACCAGTAGCCCAAACCCTCTCATTTGAGAATTTACCTAAAACATTCCAACCACAAAAAAAATTAAAGGTTAACAAAATACCCCTAGCCACCCAAGACCATCGCTCGCTGGCAACCACCACGGCCACCCATTGGCGAAAGTTGTCATATCAGCACAAACTGGTGGGATATTGCTGGTCGTGTGCCAATAAGGATGTTCCGACCATGGATCAAAACAGCCTAATCTGGCCATTTCACGACCAAATCTGATTGAAAAAGGTCTGATCGACACACAATTAGCCAGATCTGGCTGGTCGTGCGCCATTACGATGGATGCCCACGGTGTTGACTAGCTGCGAGCAGTGGCTTAGGGTGGATGAGAGTGACTTTGTTACAAATTAAAGTTTTATATGGCTGTGGTGTTTTAGCAAAATTTCAAATATAGGGGGTTAAAAGAAATGATTCAAAAAATAATACTAAGGTTGCGTTTGGTTTGGGGTGATATAAGATTAATCTTGTAATCTTTGTTTAATTTTCAAGATTCCCTTGTTTGGTTGTCAAGTAATAAAATATTACGTAATCTTTAATTGCAAATAGTGTTTACTGTTGGTAATATCAAGGGTAATCAGATTACCTTCACAAGGGGTGTTAATATAAGATTATCGAGATAATCTTAATTTTGACCCTATTTTGTCCTTAATCTTTTATCATTTCGAACACATTTGTCATCATATGTCTATCAAATAATAATTTCCCCAGACCTCCTACATTTGAGAATTTAGTTAAAACATCCCCGCCACAAAAAAGTTTAAAAGTTAACAAAATACTCTCAACCACCCAAGACCACCGCCGGCCGCTAGCCACCACCGTTGGCCACTGGTGAAAGTCGTCATAGCGGTACAAGACCGGCGAGATCTTGTCGGTTGTGTGCTGGTAAGGATGTTTCCAACCATGGATTTGTGATCCATGGTTGGAAATGACCATATGTGGCCATTCCACTGCCAAAGATGTGGTCGTGAAACGGTCATATTCGCGGCCAGATCTAACTGTTTTTTATCCGTGGCCAAATTAGGCCTTACCGGTGCACGACTAGCCAGATCTAGCTGGTTGTGCGCCATTATGGCAACTACCGACGATTGTGAATAGCTGCCAACAGTGGCTTGGGGTGGGTGAGGGTGATTTTACTACAAATTAAAGTTTTATATGATTGTGGTGTTTTAGCAAAATTTCAAATATAGAGGGTTAAAAGAAATAATTTAAAAAATAATAGGATAAAATAATATTATATTATTATTTAAAAAGGAGAGCAATTTAGTAATGTATATAACATACCCACTCATTTATCCTCTCAACCAAACATATTATTATAACATACCCACTTATTTATTCAAACCAACCAAACACATTTCTCTAAAGATTCCCTAATAATATAACATTCCCCGAACCAAACACATCCTAAAATTAATATTATATTATTATTTAAAAATAAGGGTAATTTAGTAATTTATATAACATACCCGCCAAACATATTTCTCTAAACATTCTCGAGTAATCTATATTTCTTTTCATATAACATTCTCCAATAATATAATATTCTCTAAACTAAACGCTAACTTATAGATATTTAAACAGCGTTGATTATGTCATCACAATGAACATGTGGGCACTTACCCACACAAGTCCAAACAAAACAGAGATTTAAAATTCAACAATCAATAAAAGTAATTTAATTTAACTGAATTTACACATCTTTATTTTTTGAAATTAAATTTCCAATAATTAGTAGAATTAAAACAAATATATACGTTTATAATAAATAAAGATACATATTCAAAGTTGACTTCCAATTTTGTATCCTAATTTATGTGCATCTCATATCATATGTACAGGGATGAAAGATGGAAAATTGGCGGTAAACACACGGGGTGGCAACAGTGTTAATGAAGTACAATTGTACTACATGAAGAGAGAAACGTACAAGTCTTTGAGGCCCAAACCATAGGCGCACACGGCACACCAAGCGCCATTTCAAAACATGAAACATGCAAGGGTAAAAATAAAATAATCACAAAACCAGTGGCGCCGTTGGGATTATTGAATCCAGCAAAATCTCTGCTATTTGCCAACTATTATGCTTTCTAACTCCTTTATTGTCTGCACCTACCGCCGCCTTGGATTCTCAATTGCATGGCATGCATTTGAACTTTAAACCTTCTCGCAGGGGTTTCCAAATTCTTCCTAATCTTTTTAGCCCCTTAATATTTGAAAATTCGAATAATATATAAAAATAATTGTATAAATATTTATTTTAATTCTTTTGCAAGTCAGGATTTTCTATGATTAAGGCCTTCATAATTCGATTATCTACACGTGATGGTTATGTGGCGCACAAGAACAATGTTTCAGGCATTCAAGGCAAGCTAAAACCCCAATAGCGTATCAAGAATATCTAATGAGAGCAAGTTAAAGCAGGGAAACAAAACGTGAAACGCAAATATAAGAAAATACCGAATTTAGTACAATTTCATTAAATTAAACCTCCATAACAACATGAGCGCTAATCTTAGCTAAAATTATGAATCTAAACACAATCGTAGACAACAGACTAATGACCGATTTCAAGGAATTTATACACAATACAAGACGCAAATAATTAAAAACAACAAAAACGGCGCATGGTTACAGCGGCACTGAGTTCGAAGGGGCGGCAGCATGGGCTTCATCATCAAAGCCCAAAGATCACCAACAACACTTTCTTGGACAGAAGTACTTGGGCATCGGTGATTGGCCATCCAGATAGGGATCTGATAGAACTTCATGAAATTTTCGTATGCAACTAGCTCCTCTGACAACTTCTGCACTTCGTTCTCTTCCTCTTGAGCTTTCGCATTTCCTCCTCTTTCACATTAACTTGAGCATCATTCACGTTCTGCACCTCGTTGAATCATAGCCAAACTCAGAACCAGAACCAGAGACATAATTGTCCCAACAGGAGAAACAATCTGCTCAGCAATCTCCACTCCATATCCTCCAATCTGGTTCAGATCATAACCAAACTCCAAACCAATGTTTTAGATAAATTAACTAAAATCACCAGTTTGGGGTTGATGACGAAGGGGATTAGGTTTTGGATTATGGTGAAATTGGTGGCCGGTGAAGCTGTCGTCTTCGTTTGGGAAGTTGACTGTTTGCTTTCTTGCCGTGTGCGGCTTCTCTGTCTAGGCACGGGCTGCTTCTTCAGCGGTGCTGAAGGTACCAAGCCAGACTCGGACCCCTTTTCTTGGGTCACGATTCAGCTGCCCATTTGCCCCAGGGCCGTTGCCTTATTCCTCTGTACAAGTTCTTCCTCTGCCTTTTCGCTTTCTTTTCCACTTGCCCTTACCTGGATCAGTTTCTGTTCAATTTTCAAACTCAGAAGGCTTTCTTCATAAAAAAGAAGTGATAGATAAACTACAAAAAAAAAAAAAAAAATAAAAAAAAAAAAAAGAAGGGAAAAGTGTGTACCTGAAGAGATAGTCTGTGGTCGTTTGAGTGAGTGGTCATGTGCGTGAGGAAAATACTCAAAGTTGTTCTTGGGTTTGGTAGCAAAGGGTGAGTTAGGCCAGAGGTCTGAAGCAGTGACACGGCCGCCACCTCGGCGAGGTATGAGGTCTGCTATGACAGCACCGCCACACATGTTTAAGTTTATGAAGAGAGAGTATTGATGTAAATTGAGATGTAAAAGAGAGATGATATTAAGAGGATATGAGTATATGACAGCAAACAAAAGGGTTTAAGGACTTGGAATTGTTTGAATTGGGAGAGAGAAGATTGATGGGGGGTTTTGTATTGAGAGGAAAAGTGGGTGGGGTGCATAACAGAGTATTTTAGGAAGTTTTTTCAGATTTTCGTGTCCTGGTAAATTAATATTTGATAGTCTTCTAGAGTCTAGATTATCTTACTATTTCAGTATTTCTTACCAACTTGGCAACCCTATCTCATTTTTAATTCAATTACTTAATTAACCTTCAAATCCACTACACTCGGAGCCAGCTGCTCCTTAACTAGCCCTCTCATATTTGTATTTGAATTCTTCTGTTTTTTATGACGTAAGTTTATTTTTTATATAATATATATGTATCTTTGTCTATTTTATACTTTTTTTTTCTAATTTTAAATAAATATTATGTCTCATGTAATTTAATAATAATGAAAAGACAAACTTAGTGATAATACAATAAATTTAGCCAAGCCAGAGCATGTATATGATTATCATGTGGTCTGGAAGGGTCTAGAATGTGGGAGTGAAATTGACAATATTTTTATACAATGAGGCCTCAGACCTGTCACTACATATTATATTAGAATACTGCCGCTAAAATGCTAGTGTCTCGAGAAAGTCGATAATTTTGACTTC